ATCGATTATTGAAAAAGTTGTCAACTTTTAGCTGCTCAGGTAAGCCTACACTTTCCCACACATGGTGCTCTATCATGTTTTGCTGGGATTTGTATTCCTCTATAGCTGATGGTACACGATTAATCGAACTTAATAATCGGCTAACTAATCGATTTTGAAAATAATCGTTAGCTGCAGCTCTAATTTTAACAGTTGCTGGCATGTATGACCGGAGTAGTAGTAGGGGCAAAAAGACCCTCTGTGTAATTTGATGAAGGTTTATATTTATGTGTGTACCCATGCCAGTGTCCACAACTGGTTAAAGAACATATGCATGAAGTCTGTGAGTGGGATCACCTCCAGCACTGTGTGGACAAGGAGGAGAAGATCCTGACCAGTTTAGCAGGAATGATATGGATCAGATGGAATTTTTCGTACTGTATGTAAGTTTATTCCTGGCTGAAACCAATTGCTTGAAGGAATAGTCCAAGACATCATCCCAGTCCTTGTCATCTAGGTCTGTGATATTTGTGGACCACTTTTTCCTGCATTTATCAGTAGCTGGGATTACAAATTGCTGCAAGGTCTGATTAATGTTGGAAAGGTATTCCAATCCAGAGGATTTCGGTTGTATAAGATCAAGATTAAAGTGTGTGGTACATGCATGTTGGAGTTGAAGGTATCTAAATATATATCAGTTCAGCAACGAATACCTATCTTTCAGCGCCTCAAAATAGGCCAGATTATTAATAACAAAAATATGATCTCATGTTTTCATTCCTTTTTTTGCTCAAATCTGGATCCTGGATTTTCATGAGGTGGGGAAGCCTCAAATAATTCCATAGACTGGTATAGAGGAGCCGCCGTTTGACTATCTTATAGGTTTGGTTCCAGGGTTTTGTTAGTTGCCTGCATGGAGTGAGTGAGGTGGTAGGAGGCCTGACTGGCTTTTTGAAGCAAGTACTGAGAGGCCTCAAAGGAGCTCAGACTGGCTGCCTCCACCACCAAAGCTGCTTGGTGGTGGCTTTCTTAAGTGTGAGACATTTATGGAAATTAGACAATTGACCTGCCAGAAGGTATTTTTAAAAATCTGGAAGAGTTAGGGCCCCAGATATATTGGTTTTGGGTAAAATTGTAGAACTTGGTCTAAGGGCCAACTGATTCCAGAGGAAGGAGAATATCAATGTATCCATTTGTCTGAAGAAGGAAGGGGGTATCCATATTAGAGCATTCCAGCGGACATAAATATAAGGGAAGGAGTTTCATTTTTATTAGGCTGACAGACTGATATCAGGGATAGTGGAAAGTGTTTTCAGGTCTCCGTTTAGTTTTAGTGAAGACTAATAATGTTATGAGGTGTAGGGACATAAAATCAGTTGTGTTATTAGTAATATGTATCCCTAAGTAATTAATATTCACCACCCACTGAAGAGAGGAAGTGTGATGTTGTTGCGCACTAGGTACTGGAAGAATTTGTGACTTCTCCAAATTAACTTGTAAGCCAGAAAAAATGTATTGAGCATTTGAAGGGCTGTATGCAGGGATGGACCAGGGTCCTGGAGCAAAGAAGCATATAATCAACGTACATAGCCACACATTCCTCCAAGTTGTGCTTCTTAAGACCCTGCAGGAGGGGGTAGCACGCTGTGCCACTGCAATGGGTTCCATCATTAGGGCAAAAATGGTAGGCAATGGGGGCAGACCGATCTAGTTCCCCTTCTGACCAGGAATGGTTATGTCCTATTTTAATAGCCACTTGTGGTTAATGGTACAGTATAATAGGGATATCCTTTTTAGGTAGACTGGGCTGAGACACATTTTCTCCAGCACTAGGCACATGTAGTCCCAGGTCACCAAGTCAAACTTGTTCTTAATGTTCAGCATGACTACTATATGGGTGCCCAAGATAGTGTTGGGAATTAGTATAATAGATTAGTAATAGATTAGTAAAAAGTCTCCTCATATTTATGTCAGTTGATTTCTAGGAGGCAAAGCCAATCTGGTCTGATGTTATTGCATGAATACATCTGAGGGTGGGGGCAAAGTCTTCTCTATAACACTTGTATTATTCTGGTAGAAGGGCCTCCAGAAAGGCTCTTACTAATTCCCAGAGGGTCAGGATAGGGAGCTGTGCTAGTTTAGTCTTTAGTAGGGACTGGTCATATGGGGAATAACTGTTTCATAATAATCATAAAAAGGCTTGAACAATTTCTTGGGGGTCCCTAGTCACTTCATGTCAGTGCACTAATACTATGAATAAGAAAAAAGAAAACTTGCCCCACTCCTTAATGGGACTCCCCACAAAAAGACGGGTGCTCGAAATGACTGCGGATGGAGCCGCCACACATAGACAAAAAGGAAGACGTCACCAGCATACCAACAACAATAATAACAGCAATTAGATGCTCATTTATTGACAGATCCTGTCTTTCATTGGCAAGTGCTTTTTCGGGGCCACATAGAGTCCCCATAGTCAGGCTCAGAGATGACTAATCTAAACCACTAATACTAAGGCTCAGAATATCAGCTCTAAAAGATTGATCTGCAGCCAGAGTGGTTTCTAGATTTCTGTTTTGTTCCCTTCCTCAAAGAGAGCCTCTTTAATTTATTGTAAGAGCAATTTACTAATGCTGAACGAGCATCAATCTGGGGGTCAATGATGGCATTGAAATCAACAACATCTAGTAATTTGCACGGGTGGTATAGCAAATCCTTTACACACAGGGGGTACAGAGTTTGAAAATCAAAGGGGGACCTATAGACATCGACAAAAATATAACTGACCAGAACTACCACCACATACTGTATCTGAGGTCAGTCATCACATTCTGCACTGTATATGACAAGGCTCTACTAATCAGAATCACAAAACCTCTGGCATACAGTGAACAAAATACATAGAGGTAGTTTGCTGCAGATAAGTAAAAAAAAATATTAATGATACATTGTGCCAGACAGGTACCACATTTGTGTAACCATAAATAAGTGTAAAGCAATTGTTTATACTTAAAAGGTAACAGACACACACAAAAAAAATCACAAAATCATAATTATTTACAACTAGACATTAAAAATGAAGTCATTTACATTTTACACCCTATACAATATATACATCAATTAATAGTTCAATATTGCAGTTGTTGATAAGATATGTTACATTATTTATATTTAACCATTCAGTACATGGTGAAGCAGGAATACATCTCCATGTGTTTCCCAGATAGCTTGGTCCGCCTATTCAGAAATGAAATGGCAGTATCTGCTGTAAATATGTCCAAGAAATGTATGCAGACTTGAGACTGTTAACAAAAAACGTGGGCAGACACAGGGGCAATCAAGAACAAAGCTAGCTGGCAATTCAACCCATGCAGGCCACACAGCTGTAATCACAAGTGTCATCTTCACTGGAAACATGTGACCTTTATAATGCCAAGGTAACTCCCATTAGATCAGCAGATGAAAAAAATCAACTTCTCAATACACAGGTTCAGACATTCTCATGTATAGAGCACACATACTGTATACTGTATACCTCTCAAAAGACCCTATCACAGGACATTCATAGTATGAGAAAGATAGAGTTAAGAGAACCAGAAAAGCATCCACAGCCCAAACAGCACACACAACAGATGTAATCTGTGACTATCCATCCAGTTAAGGGATTATATACGTGCTTCCAGGCACATTATCCAGCATAAACCAGCTCGATTGATTCTATGCATTTGTTGTGTCTAGTACTTTTAAAGTCTGAACAATTGCTGTAAAGTAAAGAAAAGAATTGAAACTTAAAATCCATTTATCCAGTCACTTGAGACTTATTCAATGCATAGACTGATAATTTACAAAGAGCAGCAAAAGCATTAACAACCAATCATTAATCATGTTTTACTTTTTATTCCCCTTTACTTTGAAACAGTGGTGTAACCAGAGTTATGGGCGCCCGGGGCAGAACATTTTTTTTCGCCCACCCCCCATATTATATAAACATCCACTAGAACTGTACCCCCCACACATATATATCAGCTAAGGAACTACAAGTCCACGCATGCCATCATTGTCCCTGTACAGGCTGGCTGGATCAGGCAGATGCGCCCTCCAATCAGGCACTGTAGAGGGCCGCTCGCAGTGGCCTCGGAGGAGCGAGCTGCCGCCCGATGACAGCCGCGTGAATGTGGCAGAGAGAGGGAGCCAGGGGCTTCGTTTAGCGGGGGTCGTGACGGCGCCCCCCCTCAGTCCTGTGCCCGGGGCAAGTGCCCTCCCTGCCCCCCCCGGTAGTTACGCCACTGCTTTGAAAGTCTGAATCCGGATTTTAGAGCAAAAAATTATGACTTATTCACAGCCTTGCAACATTGCCATGTGGCAACAAATGTTCCAGTTTAGACCTCTCATAAAAGGGATTCTAGGGGCCACTAGCATCACCACTGCCCCAATGATGCTAAATCAGCTTCAGTGGAAACTTTGCAGCCCTTTTGTTGAGGCTTTCAGAATGTAACTGGCTGCACATATCCTCTTTAGAGAATATGTCTATGACCTAAAGAAATAGAAAACTGAGCAGCCTGAGTCACATCCATGATTTTATGCAACACATATAAGGCTCATACAGCAACTTTATTATTTCTTGAATTTATGTTTTAAAGGCCATCTTGACACAAAACTGATATTTTAGTTTGAAGATTATTTTTTATATCTCCTGAAGCATTATTTGACTATAGCAGTTGTTTCCACCCACTGTCACAAGGCAGTAATATAATATAAGTGTCATCCTCTCACACTTGTATCCATAATATGTGTTTTCTCTATATCTGAGAGAATACAGCAATGGAGTGTTGCACCCTCTAGATTTAAAATAGCAGACATTTGGGAGGAATTCTTGCCAAGAGTCTTCAATACATCAAAAACCAACAACATGTAATTCAACTTGTTAGCAACCGTGCATAACCAAAATGTTATTTGTATACAGGATTAGTATTTGTCTTTGGGCTCTGCTGCAGCCTGTTAACTATAACTAGGAAAAAACATACCTGTAAGATTTCTTGATATCATCATGAGTTGCTCCTTTCTCTAAACCAAGAACCAGATACAAGGCCTCTCCTGAAGTTGACAAAGAACGTTGTCTTTGTTCAGACATCCTGGGATGTAAGAGAGAAATAAATCAGGCCCCATACTCAACAGGAATAAATGGACAGACGGAATGACAGATGTTAAGTTAACAAAAGATTGGCACATCTAAAAATGTTCAAAACATGAAAAAGAATGGCAAAACATACTTATACTAATGTTTTTTTGTTCACAACAGAACTTCAATCTTTCATATTCTATTGTTTACGTTAAACTAGACACAGAATATCTCTCCCCCTGCCAGTGGGTACAAATATCCACTAATCCGGACCAGGATTTGAAAAAAGTTCATGTACATTAGTCCTTGGCCAAGAGTTGTAAAATTTCAGAAAAGCAGGAGGCTATTGTTTATTTATTTATTTGTTACATGTATTTATATAGCACCGACAATTTACACAGCGCTTTATATACTGCACATTCTCATCAGCCCCTGACATCAAGAAGCTTACAATCAAAGGTCCCTATCTCACATGCATACATACAGGGCCAACTTTAGACAGGAGCCAATTAACCTACCAGCATGTCTTTGGAGTATGGGAGGAAACCAGAGAAGCCGGAGAAATTATATTAAAGCATAACACAAGTCAATATATTTGTTTAGTTTCAGAGAGAATGGGAAGGATTAAAACCTCTTCAGGCTTTTGGGGACAATGCCCTTGGGGACATTAACGCAAAGCCTGTGCAAGAATGACACAGACAGCAATAAAAAAACATGTTTGTTTTTTCAGAGAGTGAGGTACAGGTTAGAACTTGGGTGCTTTTATATTGCTGTCTGTATCCCCCTTGTTTACTTTCTGAGTGGTCACATGGACCACTCATGAAGGGAAATATGCTCAGAAATAAAAACCTGTCAGATATTCTAACCCTTCCATACAATATATAAATACTGATGGCTGAGACTGGCTGATGGCTAAGATACTGAGACTGAGGCTAGAGAGGAGATGCCAGAATATGTTGTTCATATGTTAGGAGGAAAAAAAATTGTCTGTACTGAGAGAAGAGGGAGCTGCCAAAGAATGCAGTATGGATAGTGTGTGTGTGTGTCAGGGACGTGCGGTCAGGGGAGGCAGGTGAGGCAGAGCCTCCTCTAGTATTATGAAGAAAAAAGGTGTCAGCTTCAAGTCTGTAACTGACAGCTTTTTCTCCATGCAGAGCGGCTTGTCATGGGCGGAGCGCTGCCTGTTAATTACAGGCAGTGCTGCATTCGGCTTTTGACAGGTAGTTAGGTTACACAGCAGCGGGCTTCCCCACTGCTTGTGTAACCTAACTGGTGAGGCAAGAGCTGTCACAGCCTCTACTCTGTGTTAGAGGCGTGAGCTCTGCGGATGGCTTGGACCAATGGCAAAGTGCTGTCCAATCAAAAAAAAAAAACAAACAAGCCCCCGTACAGCTTGGTTTCCAAGCTGGGGGCGGGATGGGGCGGAGCTTCGGTGGGCTGATGGATGCCTCACCCTGCACAGAAGGCACGGCACGTCACTGGTGTGTGTCTGTGTGTGTGTGGGTGTAGATGGGGCTGTCAGAGAATGTAATATGGATGGCATGGGAAGCAACCAGAGAATGTAGTGAGGGGTGCTGTTAGAGAACATAATATGGACTGGGGATAAGAGGGAAGCTAGAGAAGATTGTTGACCACTGCTGGTGGTATAGTTCTTAAGCAGTGAAAAGAAGGTGTTACAATGTTTTTATACTTACATGTCCGGTGAGCAGCTGGTCAGGGCTGAGAAATATCATGTGCTGTGAGCAGCTGGTCAGAAAAATGGGCAAATACTTGATAACTGTACTGATTTTTATTAAATGAAAAATCTGCACATATAGCATATATGAGCAGCTGCTGTTAAAAAAAATATTTAAGAAAAGCTATCATTATAGAAAAAAGGGCTGATCTTCTTCTGACATAGCAATAGGTAGGTATTTAGTATTTACAAAATGATGACAACAATGACATAATATCACGCAATAATAATATTATATATAATAATCATAATAATCCCAAACATTACTCTTTTGATTATGGTTTTCTTTAATAAATTATTCTGTGCAAAATATTTTGTTTGGTTATAAAAAAACTCACATGTATCAAAAAATAATCAAATATATATATATAGTTTAAATTAGTAAAACATCTGCATTTCCTATAAGAAAAATACAGATACACCTAGAACACTGGGATAACTATACTGCAACAAGTCTGGCTCTCACTACACATCAACTGGCCACTGTGAACATTGAAGTTCTTGTCCTGCATAGTGTATCTTACAATAAGGAATTGAACTGCTTTGCTGTAAACTAAGTCTACCAGCCAAAACTTATAGGCCTTAGGGAAATCTAATCGCAATTATAGGAGGTAAAGGTTATTATTCATTTCCTCTCCGTTTCATGTTTTATTAACTGGCTTCCAGCTTAAACGATTTAGCATCAATTCAATTTATTCTATTTTATTTATTTTATTATTATGGCCAATTCATTGCCTTGTTGATGAAAGTCTCCTGCGGTTCTCTGCTCTTCAGTGTGTAAAGGTCTTTATTTCTCACAGTCGAAAGGATTAATGAAATATTAAATAACAACATTGAATAACAGACCTGGAATATAGCATCAGAACTATCTCTGATACTCACTATGCACTGGACAGTTTACATCTTGAAAGTGATATCTTCTATGCCCGGATGGCCCACCGATTAACTATGCTATTGTCTTATATGTTTTGTACCACAATATATATTTTAATATATCTCTTTAATGGTCATGTGTTGTACCTGAAAGTCTTGCTACTGCCTCAAGTTGTACTTCTCTTGCTCTATTTCTTTCAAACATTAAGCTATATTGCGTAAACACAACAGAATAATAGCTAGCAATACATTATACTTTAACTTAGGGAGTATTACCTAGTCATTTACTTTTAGCTTTCTAATTCAGGAAACTTAATCCATTGTTCATTTATAATTAATCAATGCTGTTAAACAGTTCACTGACAGTAAAAAAAATTGTATTATACAAAGAGTTGTGTTTGAAGTTGATGTTGGCTTTTTTAAAGGTAGTCAAATTTGACTTTGGCTTTTTTAAAGGTAGACAAATTTGAAAAATGTTGGCTTTTTAAAGGTAGTCAAATTTGAAAAATGTGGTATTGAGATGCTAATAGGGAACACAATCTACCTGATCAGGGCTTAAGCTTTCCTCCAGGCATAGATATATTATACCAGGCCATCCCACTGCTGTTTAGTGGTAATCTGGTGTCCTGGTAGAATCCTTGCTGAGCAACTGTTTATAAAGCAGCAGGGATGTTACCAAACCTACCCACTGCTGTCTGTCACCTATAGAGGGACTGATATATGAAAATGTTTTTTAAAGAAGCCAAACATATCCAAACCTGCCCTGGAAGTTTGAATCTGATGACACTGCAAGCAGAGAGAATGAAAGTTAGACAGCATAGGAAGACGACCCCCCATCCCAAATGTAATAGGGGTTCTGTGAAATTGTGCTGCAGTGGATAACACAGAGCTCAAATTAAGGTAAAATGAGTGGGGTTTCTGAATTTAGCACAGTTGCAATGTTTGCGTTATAAAATTCATAGTTCATTGATTTATTGGAATTAGTCTTGAAATGCTTAGTAACCTTTAATAAGAAAAATTTAACCTCCTATATAACTAGGGTAAAGGAAACCTGTACTGAGAGAAATATATATTCTACTACTGCTCACATATCCTTAAGAAAATGGTTATTGTTTGGTTATCATACTGATCCTTAGATTCATCACTTTGAAACTTAGCTTTGTCACTGAAAAATACTCTTCATAATTTAAAAAGAAATGCATACCAACATTGCTATAAAACCATCCGATAAAAGTAGAAATGTTGCAGTGATAAATAATGACCAATATGAGGACATGTGCAACAAAATACTTTGAAACTGATATTGGTTTATACCACTCTCGATTGCTAAGATATAAGATTTCCATAAAGAATGTGTGGATATTTTACAACAAGCTTATCAAGATGTAATTATTGATAAAGACACTTTTGTATATCTAAATATGAAGCGTCCCTTCATTTTATTCCTCAGTATTTTGCTTTTTAACTTCATCATAACGAATGTTCGTACAGTTACGAAAATATAACCGCCACTAACGAAAATTCGTATTTCGTACAAATCCGAATCCGAATTGAGTTCAGTTACGAATTACGAAATAACGGATATTCCAAAACGAAGCAAAACGAAACAGAACGAATTTTTTGACGGCGCACAAGTCTAGTATAATCTATTCTAGATAGATTTTAGTATTTACTGATGACAAAACTTTTAAAAATATGTGCAGAATTGTATATAGATATCCATCTTCAATTAAGGATAAGTTAGTGCAGAGTAGAGGTAGTGTATATGATGAACTGCACTTGTGCAGCAGTCTACATTAGTAAAAGAAAAAGACAATTTTGCTGCCGCATATATGACCACATTTACCTAATGGGTTGTGGTAAGTTATTCACATCCATAGGTAGACAAGCATAATTACAAACCTTCCTGTATATTCTTTGTGGTCCTTGTTAGGGTATATGAGGACCCCCAGGGAAGTGATTTCAATAAAATTATACTGCAACAGGAGGCATGCTATATTTATTCTTTAAAGGCCCTTCAGCTCTGGGAGTTAATGATACACTTAGTTTTAGACTGTTACTTTAAGCATGCAGAACCTTTTTGTTTGTTTCATTATTTGTACTGGATGTGAAAGCTATATGAACATAGATATACAGTATATTATGTAATAATTTAAGATACTATGTTCTAATTGCACAAATAGGTGTCACCATGGATATACCTGCTATTTTGGTAAGTGAGTGGATGCCACTGATAGGAGGGATATATTTTTATCACCTTTGTGCCTCCTAGAAGATATGAGAAGCAGTCCAGCTTGGCTCCCTGTTCCCATTGCCTTAAGTCTGGTGCCATCTGATGCTGTGGTGGAAGGGCTGTGTGGCCACAGCTTTTGAAAGCTTGAGGGGAGTTGACAGCTTGAGGGAT